GAGTAGATGATAATACAGGAGCATCTTGAGATAGAGATTCACGAGCTAATCTTCTTTTCTTTAATGGTGTTACGAAATCTGAAAATAATTTTAAAAAATAATACAAATATGTTGAATACAATCAAGAACATAGTCAATTAGATACAGAAATCTATCATGACTGGCTCTGCAAGATATACAATTTGTTCTGATGTGTTCATATCATCATAGCAGCTGCAGTCTGAGGTACCAGAATATTATGCTAGTGAGCTTACCAACAGGGGGAGATGAACTAGGACTGGCACCATGAGTTGGACTACCAATGACAGGATTGGTACCAGGGGTAGGACTACACATGCCTGGATTTGGACTGGTACAACCCAAAACTGGTGATACTGAACCATTCTCACTGGTCGAAGGAACTTCATGCATTGCCTGCCTTAACCAGCGCTGAAAAAAAAAAACATGTAAAATGAGTGAGAGTTAAAGATCATAATTCTTAAAGATTTACTGTCATGAAAGTGGATCTCAATTTGAACATGATATCAAAATCATTACCTTTTTAGCTGAGCCTCGTGTATTGGATTCTGATCCTGTTCGACCACATCCAGAACTTTGAGAATTACGTCTTTGGAGATGTTCCATTGCATTTCTCGGACTCGGTAAGCAGGGTACAAATATTGTTTCATCCACTTTAATCTCTAGAGGTGCTGGTGGTGGTGGTGGTGCAGGAGCTGTTTTAGGTTCATTTCCTTTCTCTGTTAACCATTCATTAAACAGATGCTAAAAATAATATTGAACATTATGTATCAGGAGAAAAATATCATTAAACATTATAGTACATTTAATTCAATCAATAATATTGCAGTTGCACTGAAAATTATGACTGTATAAAACTCTTATAATTTCAATACAATCTTCCAGAAAATCTACTCTTACTAGCTCTAGTTAAGAAACAGCAAAATAGTCTAAAGACATACCTTTTTAGTTTTAAGAAATTTAAAACCAGCAGCCACACTACCAGGGCTAGCAGAATCAGGTGGTAGAGGGGTTGTAGGTGTAGACTGGGCTACTTGTTGAACTGTTAAAGTTTCCACTGGGGGTGGAGGTGGTTCAGCTGCACTCATACTGTTCACTCGGCTTCTTCTGAAATAAAGGGTTAATCAAATCTAAACCAAAACAATTCATGCTATCCAGCTCAGATTGAAAGATTCAAAGCCATACATGGAAATCAATTCTTTTTACTGAGTAGAATTCATCTGATGCTACTGACAGATGTCTCATACAAACAATCCACAGCAGGACAGCCTTAATGGAAAGATGGTTAATTGCCAAAATTGAGCAAAACAAGTTCAACACTACACAAAATATAAAATGCAGCAAAATGCAAATGCAGTTAGAAGATAGCTTGCCAGGCAAGGTAAAATACGCCCACTGACAGCTTTGATTTTGAACATAAATATTTAGCAGTACAGTAACAATCACCAGTATGAAATATTCAACCTTTAGTCATACACTTCTTTTGAACTCTTTAGGGCGATACTGAATAATATTGAGTATGAGTTATTGCCCTAATTCTTTAGCTCGTGCAAACTCTAGAAGACAAATATTCAATCTTCAGCGCGGTAATGAATAATAAAGTTTTGTCAAAATTCGGCAAGAAATCATGCCTTCTAGAGTTTTTATGACCTACAAATTGAACGAGTTTTCAAGATCAAGGGCAATAACTCATGCTAAATATTTTTTCGATTTTTCTCATTTTCAATAGGCTTTATCCTTGGGTGATTACAAACACTCACACCAAGTTTCGTCAAAATCCATCAAAAATTGTGCCTTCTAGAGTGTTTACGAGCTAAAAATTGAACGCGTTTGCAAGAACAAAGGCAATAATTCATACTAAATATTTTTCGATTTCGCTGATTTTCAATAGGGTTTATCCTTGGGTGATTACGAACACTCATACCAAGTTTCGTTAAAATCCTTCAAGAATTATGCCTTCTAGAGTGTTTACGAGCTAAAAATTGAACACGTTTCCAAGAACAAGGGCAATAATTCATACTTAATATTTTTCGATTTCGCTGATTTTCAATGGGGTCTATCCTTGGGTGATAAGGAACAATCATACCAAGTTTCGTCAAAATCTGTCAAGAATTGTGCCTTCTAGAGTGTTTACGAGTTAAAAATTGAAAGCGTTTGCAAGAAGAAGGGCAATAATTCATACAAAATATTTTTTGATTTCGCTGATTTTCAATAGGGTTTATCCTTGGGTGATTACAAACACTCATACCAAGTTTCGTCAAAATCTGTCAAGAATTGTGCCTTCTAGAGTGTTTACGAGCTAAAAATTAACAAGAGCAATAATTCATGCTAAATATTTTTCAATTTCGCTGATTTTCAATAGGGTTTATCCTTGGGTGATTGCGAACACACATACTAAGTTTCGTTAAAATCCGTCAAGAAATGTGCCCTGTAGAGTGTTTACGAGCAATTGCGGACGGACGGACGGACATGGGTGATGACAATATACGCCCCCCATTTCATGTGGGCGTATAAAAAAAATCTTCACTTTTGCCAGGTGTTAAAATACCAGACAAACTTTTATTTGAGATCGGGAAAGGAGCTTTTCTTGAATGTAACAATGTTTTTAATACCTGCGTAATGGTCGCTTTCTTCCTTTCCGTGCATTTTTCTGTGGAGTTTCTGGTTTAAATGTTTCATCTTTAGAATCAGACACCTCTTCACTAGTACAAGTCTGAAATAAAACAACAGGATAAATGACTGACTCAAACAAGGGAGAAAACTCATTCTTTAGTCTACATCATAGGCTTTCTAAAACTACATAATAACAAATAACTTGTACTGCACTCAACATCTTTTAAAGTGTCACAAGCCTGATGAATGTAACATATCCCAAACATCTTTGAGAGTGTCAGAACCCAGTTAAACAGGTACAATACAACTGTGTGGATTATTTTATATATGAAAATCTAAAATCCCTACCTTGGATTCTTCCTCTGAAGACATTCTTAATTCAGTGTGAACTTTCTTTGGTTCATCCTGACTTTTTCTACCTCCATCAATTCTTGCCAGAGCTTCTTTCCTTCTCTCTTCTCTTTTCTCTAACTTCTCAAAGGCTTTCATAATGGCATTCATTTTCCTCTCTTCTCTAGTCTGTAGACAATATTTATAATAAATCAAATAAGACATGGTGGGATATATTGACGATTTTAAAAAAGTTTTTGAAAGTAGTCCAAGATGTTTGAATCCTACAGCAAGAATAATTTCAAAGACAAAGACTGTCTAATTTTGTCAAAGTCAAAATGAGTTACTAATGGAAACTAAACTACATTCATGTCAAATTTTTCTCACAGTCTGAAGTGAATTGATGCCCAATTCAAAACTTAACACCAACTCAATGGTTTATTGGAGTGAGTTTCTTTTAACAAAAATTAGTTCAGCTTGTGCACACAAGAAGGTCAGGGCTCACTAAACATTATTCACTCAAATCAGAAGATAAATGCTTCTCAGAGTAAGTATTCATTTGGATGGAAAATTAAAACAAGCCACTTAGTCAAATTAAATATATATGGATTTGAATACAAAAGAGAACACTCGTTTTAATAAATCACAGGTATGGCAGATCAGCAATATTTCTGCTTATCACTTTGACCAGTCCATATCATAATTAGGTTACTGAAGAAGTAATCAACACAATATAAGTCTTTCTTGAATAATTTCAATTATTACTTGTTTTACCTTCAAAATTATGAGGACTTTTGAATCATCTGCCGATGGGCAAATGATACTACAAGACTAAAGTTGAAGGTTTTTTAAGAGATACTCTCATATTGAAGCAATGGCCTAGTAGATATCATGTAAAATCATTAACCTACCAATTTATGATCATGCTCCTCTAGTTCCTGTTTTTCAGGAGTAGATAATGCTGGTGAGACTGCTGTATTATGAGATGCCTTGTCACTAGAACCAGAATCATGTTTAACTCGAGCAGGTATTGGTTTAGGATGGGGTTTTGGAGTGTGTTTCACTGCAGCTTTAGGTGGGCTGTGTTTAACTGGAGGTGGAATTGGCAGTGTTTTTTCTATGATTACTGGAGGCCTTGGCTGGAATATTTTCAATATATTTTATTGAATTAAACATGAAATCAACAGATATTCATAACTAGCACAAAATATTTCTATTAATGAAATGATTTTCATTTCTCGCAATTGCTGATTATCAAATTGTGTAAATAAATAAACCAAGTACTAACAATTCAAACGGCAAAACAAACCTGAAATCCGAACAACATATTGGCGAAATATTGGTAGCAGCTAATGATCTATTTACATGAGGAAATAGATTTCATAGTAGATATTCAAAATGGTTTTTTATAGTGGGCCATGGAGTAATGACCCTGAAAAGCACATGAAAGACTAATTGGTGTTTCTGTCAAGTGTCTCTGTATAAAAGCTAAGATTATTTCAATAATTACCTCTTGTTTTATGGGTGTTGTTGGAAGGGGTAAAACTTTTTTAATTGTTTTAATGGGAGATGGAGATTGAGGGATAGATTCTTTAATTTTTAATATTTCATTTTTTAACGGGCTGAGTTGTTCTGTTTTAATTGTGATGTCATTACTACCACTTGGTCTCTTCATTCTTGGTTTCTTGACATTAACTCTGTAAGTAGGAAAGTATATTTTATTTCAATATCTAACTGATGCTGTATGGCTCAAACTTTCCAACACTTTTCTTATCTTCTTCTATTTAACAGCATAAGACAATAAACCTGCTTTAAGAGATATTCAACAACCTAAAAGATTGCATACAGGTAAATACCATTATTTATTTTGATTCCAATCTAGTCCTTGAAATATAACATTCATAATTACCACGAGAAAATTTTAAACATATTCTTGACAAAAACATACCAAATATCCAAATCTAAAACCTAAAGCTATTTACCACAAGATACCTGTGGTTTTTTTTTTCAAATTATTATGATGAAGATATAATCAATACTTACTTATTTTGAGTATTTTTAGTCATTTTTTTCCAGAATTTGGATACAGTACAGTTGTTACGTAGACAAGCACATTCAACACAATACATACTGAAAAGATTATATCATTACACGCTTTTACAAGACTATTTGAATTTGACTTATTAAATTGAACATGGAATTACTACTTCTTTAGAATTTGAAATAGAGTAGCAGAAATGAGAAATGTTAATTTTTTATAGTATTCAGTTTTCAAAGTTTAGAAAATTTGCTTTGAACATACCATTCCTGATAGTTATAATCAAAAGGTATAGTGATTTCTTCTCCTTTTTCAATATCTTTTGTTGAAAATATCACAAAATGGATACGACCATGTTCCACCAGGTGACGAACCTAATAAAAAGAAAAATCGGGATCAAAACATAACAATACTTTTAATATAAATAAATTTTGTGACACTCTCTCTGGATTTTATTTTTGAACTGTTTCAACATCTTAATGTTCACTGTCAAAATATGGAAATGTGTATTGTTTTTAAGTGGATTAAATTGAAATCTGCCCCTAAATTGATATTACAGAATGTTTTAATGCCAAGAAAATCCCTAAGTAGAGTAACTGTCAAAGATACAATATAATATACAATATCAATGATCAGAATGGTGAGTTCTAGTAGGACAAATCTAAAAATCTTATAACACATCAAATTGGGCATCAAAAACTCAGCCTTCACTAATTTTGATTGTAAAATTTGATTATATTCTTACCTCAGCATTAGGTGAACATGAACGTCTAATATACCTGGCCTTGTTACCATAGGAACTAGAATCTATACATAAATCTATATCTTCAAATTTAGAATAAAATAAAACATGAGGATGAGCTCTGAAAATAAAGAAAATTTAATGGAATTACCATGCTTGCCTTTTTCAAAACACCTAATAGTATCTGGTTGATTTTAAAAATATAGATTTTAGTTCTAAGCAGAATGGCAAACAATGAACGTATTTGTCATAAAATTTGCCATAATTATGTCACAACAGCTGGATTTATGGATAAATAATGTACATAATAGATTGTTTACTTCAATTTCAAGGCATCAAAATTTAAAACTAAACTCACATTTTAAAGAACAAATTGGTATCAACATAATGTTGCCGCAATAAAACAATTCCTTTATATTCTAAAACAGCTAGTCCTGGTAATATAGGTTCTTTAGCTTCTATTATAACTTGTTTTTTAATAGTTTGTCCTAAACACCATAGTAGATCTAGCAGCCTCTCACTATCACAGTGCTTGTCATCTAACTACAATTCAAATAATGTACTATGGCTTAAATATTTTTTTCAATGTATGCAAAGATCATAGAACGGGGATTTTCAACCTGAAATTTTTTAGGGGTAATAAGGAGTTTAAGCATACAATATTTCAGGCAGATCATATTCTTCATTATGAAAGGGAATGCAGGGAAAACCTTAGAGAATATATGCTGGCTGGGATCTATAATGCTGGCTTGCTAAATGTACCATCCATATACAAAATGCCATCATTTGTGAAAAGAAGCAATTAAAACATGAGTATGATCAGAAAAGAAATATATGTATGTAATAAAATGGTTGGGAGCACATGTCCTATTTCTTTGATGAGCTAACAAAATTCATGGACTAATTTAACTTGATATGATACTTACGTTAAGACCATTAACATTGTATCTAGAAAATAACTCTTGAACATCTTTACTATATTGGTTCTCTTTAGCATCTTCAAATCTATCAAACCTATCATAAACAAAAAATACAAATATATCATCAACAAGCAGGATTTGATGATTATGATGTACTTGTCAGTCATTGCACAAAAATATGAGATATAACTATGAAATCTTCACTTTGTCGGTAAAGAGACCATTACATGTATGTCCATCTATGGTGCTTATTTCGATCATTTTTTCCTTAGTGCCAATCATTTATTTTTGTTTATACAAAATCTACTTACCCCTCATAATTCCATGAGTCGCCATTAACTTTAACAACTGTTTGAGAATTATGACGATTCTACAAAACAAATAAATAAATAAATGAAATTTACAGTTGTTATAAAATTCTAAAAATTAGATAAATAAATTTCAATTTTGTAATAAAATTCTGAATAAAATTAGATTAGATAATAATATTTACCCTTTGTTTGACGGTCTTCTGAGAACCATCTTTAGCATTCTACAAAATAAATCATTTATAATCTTGTCAACATAATTTGTTCATTACATAAGCTGACACTAAAAGGCACAAATATACATCAATACACAAGGGTTTCTGTAGCACAGGAGGTTAGAGTTTTATTCTTAACATGAGGACATTCGTTGGGTTTAACGCTGAAAAATGGTAGATGTGGGTTCTAATCTAATCCTCAATTAAGTCATCATCATTCATAATTCCAGTTGAACCAGGTCTAAATCGGTACCAATAATCCAGTAACGATCAATGCCAAGAGTTATGGTCAAGCTAGTACAATGGATCCTTTGTGAGCGTAAGTTATCCTTGTAAACTATAGTTGTTTCTTCCTAGTTTCTTTCTCAAAACATCAGCAAGTACTAATATATCCACTAACCTTAAATTTTATTTTCAAATTTCCTAATTTTAAGTTTTCTTTCTCTTTTTTCAACCCTTTTTTCTCTTTACCATTTTTCTGTTTTGTTCCCATTTTATCTTTTAATTTGGAATTTCTACGTTGTTTAGTAACTTTTTTGTACGGTGATTTTTTCTCAAGAGCTGCAAGACGATTGGCTAATTCTTCAGGATCTGTATCTGTAGCACTTGTATCTAAATTTAGACAAAGGTGAACATAAGCTTCAAGCTTTCAAGATTAAACATTTGTGGTTTGAAACAAATTTTCAAAAAGAGAGTTATTTCCCTTTATACAATTCCGAGGTCAATATTCCTTGTTCATAAAAAAAAAACAAGGAGAATAAGCTTTATATTATGTATCATCTATTTGAAAAGAAATATTTTCTCCAACATCATTCCTTCACCAAAATCCTTGTCTCAATAAGAAATTAATGTAATTTGGTCTGTATTTCATCATTTTCCCAATAACAAATCATTCCCACAAAAACTAACCTAAATTAGCCAGTTCTTCTTTCTTTCTACTCTGTATAATTTTAGCTCTCTCAATATCTACTGGTCGATTTTGACAAAGTTCACAGTAATAACTTTCTGGTATATTGTTTCTGTCTATTCCCATACAATCTATGTGTTGCCATACACTGAAACATAATATCATAAGTAAGTACTACCAATTCAAAACTATAAGAAATTCACTATTTTTTACAGAAGTTAATAGAAATGAAATTAAAAAGTTTGTAATAGGTTATAATATTAATTAGTTTTTTCAAAACATACCTGCATCTGTCACAACAAATCATATAGCCATCATCATGTTGAAATTCACAAATACATCGTGTTATACTGTCATCTATAATTTCTTCCTTGGCTATTAACGTTGGTTTGGATACATCTTCTATTATTTCTATATGACCATTTATTTTCACTGTTGGTAAAGTTGGGGAGGGTGGGGGAGTGATTGGGGGAGGGGCTCCATAATTATGATCCTGCAAATCAATTAAAAAATATAAGAACTTTCAAATACTATTAAACAATGAACACATCATAGAACCGAACAAATGAGAAATTTCCATTTTTATTGCTTACTGACAAAAAGAAATTGCTCTGAATATTTATTAAATATCATATTGTTTCAGTATTGATTATATTATAAATTACCTGGTAGGGTAGCCCAAAACATCCAGGGTATGAGTGTGTATGAACTGTGCGTTGATATATATCGACGCTTGGGCCGCTAGACATGTCAATTTCACTGGAAAATAATAACATTATTTCTTAAATTGCTAATTAAGTTTTCGTAAAGAAAAGAGATAAAATACTTGAACAGTTATTCACAGAAAATGTGGGTGAATTTTAACACTGAAAGTTTCATTTGAATATGCATTTAAAACAAGTAGATTTCTTGGCTACTTGCCAGAACACTTTCGTTCTGTGGCATCATGCCAATAAAATTGGAAACAGTATTACAAAACATGACAATTCCAGCAGTTCCAGGCTTTTCAACTTTATCTTGAATCATGATTATATAACAAATAGTATACCAAACAATAATAATAATTAGTACATTGTTAGCTTATTAGTAAATTTCTTCACATTAACCTACCTCAAAACTATAAAAAATAAAACAACAAATTATCAAATGTCATTCTAATTATCATACTTGTCTTATTGATTAGTAAATAAGAATGAGTATAAACTCTAAAGAACTTACTCTGAATGCGGGCTTACAGACAGCGTACTGTCAGGTCCACTAGTCAATGGTCGTAAGGCACCAACCTGTACTATTATACTCATTTTTATACTAAGATATAAACGGTAGGTGATATAGGAGTGATTTCACAGCGGACTCCATTTTTATTTCTATAGATTATCACATTTCCTGAAATGCATAACAATATTATAATAAGAACCAATGAGATAATTTATTAATTACCAGTACTACTTATTTGTCAAACCTTTTTATGTACCGTAACACTGTTTAGAAGAAAAATTTCAAAATAAAAAGTTAAGATTATTCAGAAGATTGGGAAAGCATTTGATGATCAAAATTTGTGAAGTGCAATAAGGTATATAAAGCACCCATGTCTAATTTTGAGGACAACCAAAGGATCAATGATAATATCAAAATTCATTTGAAGTATTTCACAAGAAACAAGACAGCTCTCTGATAATAGTGCCTATGTCATGTAATTATAGTCATGCACACATGAACAGAAGGGAAACATCATTGATGTTATGTTAAATGTAGTGGTGTAAGCTAAAACAAACAAAACTACATGTTATTTGTTTAATTCAGTGGGTTTGCTTAAAATAAAATTTATATAGTTTGGGGTCAATATGAACCAGCCACCATTTTTGATTTCAATAGCAATATCCATGCCATAAAATCAAACAAAATTGATCAAGCATGGTTAAAATAGGTGTTTATCCTAATGTATAGCAATCATTTAATTCCTAAAACTAAGACTACATGGTTCTAAAATTGTATTCAATTCACAAGCAATTTAGCTTATAGAATAGAAGAAGGGTGTCAACAGTTCAAATGTCATGAAAACTTATATCCATTATATCAAATTTGTAGTCTATTAAGCATACTTGTTCATATCAGACATGAACCTAGCATCTGATTTTTTTTTATCTTCAGGTCTAAGGTAGCGTTCAGTTTACTATAACATGTATTAAACAGCTCTTTAGGGGCAATTAGCTATTTCAACAGATTACACCTTAATGTGATTAAACCAGGTGAGATTTTAATCTGAACCTATTGTACACCTGTTAATACTTGTCAAATGTGTAATAAAAAATGTTTTATCATTATCAACAGAAACAAAGGTGCTAACAAATTAATTAACAACTGCATCAAGTCAGTTTGTCATAGTTGGATTTTTCTTCTGTCAAGATGTTTTAAATTTTCTTATAAAAAGGATTTCTATTCCGCAGTTTGTATAAGTTAATGCTTAAACTGTGACCTTATAGAATTCAATACCAAATTTGCAGCTAAACAATTTAGAAGTTGAAAATCTAATATCAGACCACATTGTGATGACTTGATTTTACACAGAGATAACAAAGATTGTGGTTTATTATCTGATAAAAATATTTTACATGTCGATTTGACAAATTTAAATGCGTAACTTCAGCACTTTGAGAGCAAGTGATTGAATTGGCAATTCCATATTCTTGCCTCAGTGGAAACCTAAATTTTACTACTAGATCATCAGTTAGATCACTTGTCTTTAATATTTCAATCTATTCAAAAGCTTACAGATAATCTAATTAAGTAATCAAGATTACTGAGATTAGCATCTTATTTTACTGATACTTGAAAGGGGCAATCAATATATATGGAAGAGGATGTCAAAAACAATAATAGGTCTGGGATGTCTCTAGAATGAGAGCAAAAATAAGATTTTTTAAATAGTTTGAAATTTGCACAATCAATTTTCAGTCACAGAAAAAATCCAGCTTAAGCCATTCACATTTCAACATAAGTATGATAAGACGATGTGTAGTGGCATATAATATTAACATAATATAATAATAGGAACATCATGGAATCTGAAAGAAATAAAAAGAAAATGGCAGCCAGAAAACTTGGTCACTCAGCAACCATTGAAATCTTAATCCATTCCTAAATGCAGACAACAGAAAATAGCTGAAAACCAGAGAGGAAAAGTGGGTCAGTAAAAAATGGACCATCAATTTGCAACTAGTTTTATTAAAGACAAGTTCAACTTGATGCAATTACTCTGTTTGGCAATCAAAGAAGCTCTCAGACAGTGATTGCAACAAAGAAATTCTAAAATAAATGCACGAAAACTCTGCAATTGCAGGCTGCCGCGCGAGAAAAATTAAAATTAACCGCGGACGGACGTCAAAATTATTGACAATTTATGAAGTACTTCGTGACATTCAAAACTGTTAATACATACCGTGGCAATCTCGAAATATCAAAGAACACGAAGAAAGGTGGGATATAGCTCAATGCTAAAGGTCCATTTAGAAAATTGAAATTGAAAAATAAACTGGAAATGTCACTGTCAGAAAACCAAGATGGACGTCCGAGGGTTTGTTTACAGTCAGACTGTAATCAATTATGGGTCACTTTTCTGAAGATTCAGCCAGATTTCACTATGAAAGCGACTAATATGAAACCTATAACACTGCTTTTTGATAAATATTCCATTATAAAAGAATGTCCTTCACAAATTAATCACAAATTCATCAGTTTTCATATAATCTTTCAAAACAAGTGATACAATTCCAATATGGCGTCCTACATAAGAAGCGGGGTTTACATTTTGTACGAAAAGGGGTCCCCATCTAATTTTACGTCATATTATAATTTTCCTAATAAACAAGTGCTCGTTTTAACCAAAATTAATTTCAGTATTATTTTAACTCTTGAAGAATTCACGAAATTCTTAGATTTAATTATGATTAAATATTTCCGAAAATTTTTCATTTCCGTCGTCTGCTATGCACTGCGCATGCTCAATTGATGCGACCTGGGATTTGATTGACAGTTTAGTGTCGGTGTTTATTAATTTTTTTTACATTTTTTCAGAATTTATGTCTCCTTTCGGGTGAATATTTTTTCTAAGAACAATCTAACATGCTAGATCCTTCGTCCAGCGAAGAAGAATCGGAAAATGATACTCTTGAGGATGAAAATTCGGACGTTCTCAGTTTGCCTAGTGCTGAGCAAAGGAGTTTATCAGCAAGTGGGGATAACTTGAGTGTAGTAGGGGGGCATTCTAGATCCAACAGTATTAGACCTTCAAGTCCCAGTCCTTCATTAATTAGTGATCGTGAAAAAATCGAAGATGTTGAAAAATTGGAACGAGAGGAAGAAGAAAGAAAAAAAAGATTGCAACTTTATGTATTTGTTATGCGATGCATCGCATATCCGTTCAATGCAAAACAACCAACGGATATGGCACGGCGTCAAACTAAGGTCACAAAACAACAGTTACAAACAATAAAGGAACGCTTCAATTCCTTTTTGAATGGCGAAACGCAAATTGTCGCCGATGAGGCTTTTATAAATGCAGTGCAAAGCTATTATGAAGTCTTCTTAAAAAGTGATAGAGTAGCAAACATGGTGCGTAGTGGAGGGTGTTCCTCTAATGACTTTCGTGAAGTTTTTAAAAATAATATCGAAAAACGTGTGCGTAGTTTACCTGAAATTGATGGATTAAGTAAGGAAACTGTGTTAAGTTCTTGGATGGCAAAATTTGATGCAATTTATCGAGGGGAAGAAGACCCACGAAAACAACCTCAAAGGATGACAACCGCAGCATCTGAGTTAATTCTTAGCAAAGAACAATTATATGAGATGTTTCAGAACATTTTAAATGTGAAAAAATATGAACATCAAATTCTCTATAATGCTTGTCAGGTGAGTAAAATTTGAAGTGGTATTCATTTGTCACAAGCTAGGAATATATTGGGTAGGCTGTATTTGTCATGTTTAAAAACAAATAAGCTTATATAAGATTGATAATGAAATATGTATAATGTTCTTTGGTCATCTTCTTATCAGACTTAATGACTGATGTCTACGGAAGATCAATGTTATTAAACTCCATTAATTAGATACAGAGATACAGAGTAATAGTGATCATTATAAATCATCAAAATAAGCTTATCAGATGATCAGTATTAAGCTCTTGTAAGTTTATTTCAGAATAAATTTTCCTTTCCCAATTCCTAAACTTTGATATTTATAAGTTTAAGCTTACTGGTAAGTACTGGTAATCTTTAAATATATTGTCTAAGCATACAGTTTACTTTTCAAATGAATTTTCCATTATATAGCATTAACAATGATTTATAATTGAATTTCCTTAACCCTTGAACACTTGAGTGTAAATTAACCCTCGCTTTAAGTCAAATTACTGTACCGGTACCAGTACTTGAAAAAGGAACAGTCTGATTCAATGCAAAGAAATGGGCTTATTATGTGTGATACCATACTATATCTAAACCCTTTATGTATCTATATAGTTTGTCTGGTGACCAAGAAACCATTAAATGTTAAATTTAAGAATTGCTGTCTTGTCTTGTCAAATACAGAAATTCACAAATGGTTTGTTTTTAACCAGCGATTATTTTTAGATTATTTTATAAGTGAAAACTTTCATGTTGGCATGTAGTTTTCACTATCCAAGTCTCAAAAACATTTGGAAAAATCAAGACTGTGCACCATCTGTTTGACCAATCGTACCTTAGTCTCAGAAATTGGAATTTTTTGCTATTATACTGGCAGCAAGGTGGCAAAGATTAAATATAAATTTTATGTTAATCTAATCAGTAGAATTCCTTATAAGCTTAAAGGAATTGAAAAGAGATTTTCTAGATTTTGTCTGTATATTGGGGAAACTGAAAGTATCAATTTGCACCTTTCCATGTTACAATCATACATCCTTAGTTCCTGCAATTCTACTTAAATGACATCACTATTCAGCAAGGACCTTATGTGATACAAGCATACCGTACTGGTCAATTTCTGATGCTACCAGAGTCCCTGATACATATGAAAACCTCTACAATTCCTTCAAGCTTATATCACTGAAATATGGATCGTGATGTTTTAAAAATAAATGATTGCCACAAACTCAAATGATAAGTCTAGCAATAAGTTTATATATAGTTTATTATAATTTATTAGATTTAAACTGTTCTCAGTTGATATTTGTTGTTTATTATTTTATTTCGTGAACATCTGGTTAGGATCAATTCAATATTAATTTGATATTATGGCATACAAAAAATAGGACAACAAGCAGACCAGCTTTTCAATCTGATTAAAAATTGTTTTAACACAGAACAAAGAAATCTTGATCTGCATTTTAATTTAATCAAATTGTCCAGCTTCTTTTTTTTTTACCTGGACCTGGTACTGGTAGTTAAGGTGCTTGATGAACACTAGTAAAGTGTGACTTGCTATTCATTCTAGGTTTTGAAATATTTATCTTTTGTTGACGCTCCAAAAGAATTGCAACTTAGTTAAGTTGTTGTTGAAAATAAAATTGGCCATTTCTTAAAGGCCATGGTTCGATATTTTAGGGGTTGATTTTGTTCTTGAATAATATGTCTCCAGAAGTACTAGAACTGCACGAAAATGACACAATCCCTTCAAATTAGGAATTTCACGTTTTTTTTTCTGTGTTCAATATGTGGCAAAGTCTCAAGAAAAGACGAGTCGTCATTTAAACTTTCAAACGCGGATAATGCTGTACACACATGGATTTTAAGACTCAAATTTCAATTATGAGCTTTGAACACTATTACTGATTAGCTTAGCTTAAAAAATTCTCATGTCATAGACTAGGGTATGATTGGTTAAATGGGTGGCGAATCTGTTCATTTGAAAGACCTTAAATTTTTTTAATTTGTTCTTTGTCTGTGATCATTTAAAATTTTCTACAGAGATTTTGACAACATTTACTTAATAATGAAACCTTTCCATGACATGGTTTTTAGCAATGACATGATTTTAGTAATTTCACATTTTCCAACATTTTATGAATTTCTTTTAATTGAATTCATGAGAAAAAAGCCATTTCCAGACTCAATTGTGAAATTTGGCATAAAGTCTCTTTGATTAATGACTATTCATACACATGATTGTGTTAGATAATTTAAATCCTCTATGGATTCAAGAAATATACCACTAGAATTTTCTCTAAGAATTTCATAGTTTGCATAAATGAGGTCCCATTCTTAGTTTTTGTCTGTTCATTTCTATACCTGCGAATTCACAATTTTTTTTGTTGGGAGTTAAAGCTATTCAGGGAGTTAAACACTATGGAATATATAAGTGTACATTCTTACAGAGCCACATAAATCATGTTTGGAAATTGCCCCTTGGGTAAACGGTCCACTATGAAATTTTTGGTAGCAACATACGAGCTTGTATCACAGTGTTAAATGGTACCTGTAGTCATTTTTACCTTTGACTGTGCTGATAGTTACTTGATCACATGATTTTGGTAGTTTATTTGTTTGAGGTGGATTAAGCTTTAGGGAAAGTAACAAGAGTTTACAAATGCTCCTGTGGCGGACAGTTGTTACCCTTAAACATACATCACATATATTCATACAGTAAAAAAAATCTTCTTGGTCATGAAATTGTCACATTCTTGTGGATCTTGGTCTGTAGGTGAAATGGGAATATAAGATTTTTTGCAGGTACGGTAAGGGCACTCAAAACCAGTGCAAGAGAGAGAGACTGTGGTCACAGCACTGAGCATTTTTTTTGTCCTAAAACTGTCTCCTTATAAATATCTAGCTTGGAATATCAATGAAGCTTGAGGCTGTATGAATTATTTACTATATTGATAGTAAGAGTAAAAAATGACTGTAACATGACTTTCTTTTTGCTTTTTTATGTTACATCATTGTTTTAATTCTGAAGAATATCACAAAGTTTGTTTTCTTTCTAATATAAATTTGGGAATTTGAATGGAAGTCCTGTATTTATTTGAATCCAGTACTGTATGAGACAGTTCCCACCCCTTCCTTTCCAAATACTATCAATGATAAAGAACTGGTGGTACTAGTCTTACTATATTCTCTGACAGTGTGATGATAATATTGTTACTATGGGAACCATTGATTGCAGCTTGCTACCAGAGTTATTATGAATGGAACCAGTTTACTAGTAACATTGTTACAGTTGTTAGGCCTTGAACTCTTCTCTTAATCTCATACTCAGTTACATTCTTTTAGTTCATTCTTTTACTCAAAGTTCATATTAAATTTGTAGTTTAAATATGCATGTTAAAAATCATGAAAAGGCTGTTGATTTTTTATTGCTATTGGCAGAGATTATACTGGTATTGCATCATGAACAATGCTCATATTTTCTGAATTTTGTTTTCCAAAAACTGTTTCATAAGCATTATTATCTATGTTTAATCTCTTTGAAATGGACACCAAAAATTGACAAACCCATTCAAGTGTGACATAAGGTGTCCCCAAAGACTGAGCATCATCCACCACAGCACTCATTCAGGCTCAAATTCAGACTTTTGATGTTGACTCTAGAGCTTAAAACTAATATGATAAGGGTGATTTAACTACATGTAAATTTGCTATATATTCGTCAATTAGTTGTCTGGCTGTCTTTTCAGCATAGTATGGACAAAATCACTTTGTATTTATAAGTGGTTTAAACTAAATGTCAAACTACCAAGATTTGCTTAAATATTTTGTATGGTGTAATTTTTCAATCTAAATTTTTATTTAGACCGACTGACTGACTGACTATAAACTTTTCAGTTTATTTTCTTATTATTTGAAGAATTTCAAGTTGTAATGATGCTAAATGTTCGTAAGAGTTATGCATGAATATTAGAAACAAGTAAAAATCCAAATTAATATATTCAATAAAACACAGTCAATATTATTGCCAGTCATGCCAGAAATATTTTTGCTGGAAATAAGTGTCTGAACACTGACATTGTCTGGCATTATTTTCAGTTGGGTGATAGTAAAATTATCGGTGTCTCTTGTTAGCATGATTGTATTTGATGAAACATACATTAAATTAAAGAATGATAAAATATTTAATTAGGAAATTGATTATATTTCTACAGATTTTTTTAGCTTCTTCTCAGGATTGAAGCTAATTTCTAATTAGAATTATGTTAGGTATTCGTCAGTGGATTGATAAGACCTTGGATGAGTTTGAACTTGACATGGTTGTGATGAACTATTTGAGTTACTGCTCTTGATTAAGCTAGTGTGTGCAATAGAAGCTGGGACTTTAAAGAAAAAATGTCGTGATGGTTGATTTAATGACAAACTATTTGGAGGTGGGCGATGAAATATTTCTTAACATCTGCCATGGATATAATTCATCAAGCCCCCATGTCATCTATTTTTGAGCAAAAAACAATCTTTGACATTATTGGTAAGCTCTGTCATGTACATGTATACAACATTGTAAATTATCAAATTTTTTTAGCTTTTTTGACAAAGTGCAGCTGGTAATTTCCCCTCCCATTTGAAGATAAATTTTTGATGAACCAATCTAATGGGAGGTAAAACATGTTTAATAATAAAGTGAAGAGAATTGATCTCCATTTTGAATCCTGAATGACTATCAATATTTCATTTCCTTTTCTAAGATTCCTCTAGAAACTAGTACCAATACATTCATAAATTATCTATAAATTTACCAGTAACTGTTTAAACTTATAACACAATGTCTATGTAAACATGTTTTACAGTTTCTTTAGAACTTTAATGTTCCTTGAATTTTTTTTTAAGTATAACGCATGATTTTCTTCTATTAAACCCAAATTTGGAAAAAAAAGCACTGATGACACATTCACGAATTTGGTTCATGTAATACTGCACATTAGTCGTGCCAAGGTGTGCCATATTGGTACTTCTGAGCACTTGTTAACTGTTTAATGTTCGTGTACTGGCCACTACATCACACTGTATTACACAATGCATGACCATAGCGGCATTGACACTCATTGGCACACATTGACACTCATTGGCACACATTGACACTCATTGGCACACATTGACACTCAATGGCAATACTGAAGTATTGTTTGCTCAAAGAAGTTAATGCATGATAAATTTCAAAATTTTGTGTATAACATGATATGACTTGCACCCAAACTCCTTTCTTCAAGTAAAAATCACAAAGACTTTAATCATTGAAATGCTGAAGTGTGTGTCATTGCACAAACAGAATTCGTGCAAGGTTCAGTGTAACTTTACAGCATTCCATTTAGACAGAGCCTCTGATTTAGATTGATTAGAGCTATAACTTCAGATTCAGTTTTACTTGGGTCATGCTGGGGCACTCAAGATTTGAAATGACAGTGTGGTCTCGGCTGTTGATAAATGGTTATGAATAAAATAAATAAGGTTATATTTATATAAAATATTTATAACCAATAACAATAAGAAATATTCTCAATCTACAAAAGAGATCAAATTATGCAATTTATTGATGAGAAGATGTTATATAAGGAACATGGTCGATAAAAAAAAGTCTGATTCGAGGAAAACTTCTCCTCATTAATTCTCTAGATTGACAAGATTTGGTCTTCTGAGAACTTTGATTGATTTAGTTCCAGATTCATTATTTAGATTACATTTATTTCTATTATTCATTGCATAACATGTTCGTCTTATGGCATATACCTCATTTGAATATTGAAAAGGGTTCTGGTTTTGTCAAAGGAGGGAGGGGGGTTATAGTGTTGGTGGTCATTCTTCATCACTTTCATGTATGTTTGTCAGGGAAGATTGTGATATTTCATAAAGATGTCCTCTAACTATACTGATCACCAGTTGGGTATCGTTACAAATTATGAAAGTGGCCAGTTCCAAAGGCAACTCACAACACAATTACATGAGAGTTGTTTTCGAAACTTATAACCCGTATTCTTATTCACAACCGGTGATGCAACTGGTGATTGCTATGGTGTGAGGGAAACTTTAGCAAGATACAGCTATGCATATTTAACAGTTGACACTGGATATGAAGCCATACAAAGACAAGAAGGCCTTAAATTTGTACTAGTAACACTGAATACACTGATATGCAAATTAACTGGCATTGGACTGACTGAGTGTTATATTGCCCTATAGTTAATAAATCATTGTTATTGTTAATAAACTTGCCTAAGTAAAAAATAGCTCCAAACCCTGTTTAATAGTAAGTCTGTTTGCTGTGTAGGATTCACGAAGGAAATAACAAAAAAAACTATTGAATTTTGATGTAAATAGGATTTTATATGAAATGATAATCAGTAAAACAATGTGTCACTATTCATTTTGTTACACAATGGTCCATTTCTTGCACCTAATAAGCTTATTCATGTTTTATCTATATTTCAGTTGGATAATGCGGATGAACAGGCTGCTCAAGTTAGAAGAGAATTAGATAACAGATTACAACAAGTTGAGCTCATGGCTAGGGTAAGTTGTGTTTGCTGGCCACGTCTACTCTAACTCTTCCTTCATCACCATCAAAACATTCTGTTGCTAAACAAAGAGTCATTTTACAACGGGCTTGCTTGATCATACTTGGGTTCTTACCTTTCTTTTCTCTCTATCCTAAAGTTTTAAACTTTTTCTTTCTATTATACCTTTGCCAGATCCTTGATGGATTGCATTACTCCTATTACCCCTATAAATCCTTATAAATTCATGATTTTCTAATAGGTTTTCCTTTGCAAACTTTTTCTTGTCCGAGAATATAGCCTGACTGAATAGAACAACCCAAATTATAATTTAAGCTAAACTAGAACCGCACTACGCCCCAATAAATTTAAAAATTACCCCTTTTACCCAAGTTGAAAACCCTTGCCCCTAAGGACCTGTTAGTCTATTACTTATCACAAACCCAAGGGTTACAAGTGAATTGAGGAAATTTCAGTTTGATGCAATGCCTAATTCTAATCATCTGATTTCTCTACAGTTGAACAACACAAAAAACACAAGTGAGAATATTTTATTGTGTGTAAAAATGAGAGATGGGAGATGTTAATGAGTTAATGACTGTTTGTATAGTGTTTATTATTGACATATTGACAGAGTGTATCTATAGTTATAAATTAAGTCTTCAATTGGAGGTCATTAACAATTTAACAGTCCACTTGCTTATATTCATTAACAAGTCTTAAAGGCCCAACTACACTGGAGGTTTAGAAATTTAGAATAAGACATAATATTAGAAAATAAACACTATTATGGATATATTCCTTTATTTTAGCAGAAAATGCCCTGGGTTCTTTCACAGAAGGAGAAAAACAAGGCAGGAATGTGAAGTCCACCTTGCCATGCGCGCTGGTTAGGCATAGCCGAGATATCGGAAATGGGAATTATGGTAATTACCCACATGGGAAGATATTTAACACTAGTAGTCCCAAACAACCAGCCTCTGATGTTTCAAGTACTGTAGTCATATCATCTGAAAATCTGTACCTGGAAAACAATGGCTGCTTTTTTTCATAGTGTTTAACTTTCACAGTAAACTGGTTGACATCACTTTAAACAGGATTTTTCTTTTAACATGGGAAAGGGGAATAACTCTTGTTTGGAGAAGTTGCAAAATGTTGCTTTTAAGTTATTCAAGACTTCCTTCTACTTGTATCCTGTAAATGGTCCTTAAGTGTATTGAGTTTGTATCCGTTCATAGACTGACATGATTAATATGCATATTAATTATGTTATCTCCATACCTAGGGATTGTAACCTATCATTGACTTTGGATAAGGTTTACCTGACAGTAATGTGTAATTAGTGGATAACACTCTGACATCCATTATCTGGACAGACTTCATTAATTGGTATCTTCCAATTGATATTTATTTCTAAATTTCTTAAAAAAAAATAGCCTTAACCCTTTCAACTCTTGTTGCCAATTACACATTAAATACCTGAGCAGCCTTGAAAGTGGTAGTTACAAAGTGACGTCACATAATGTTAATGGGACAGTTGCAACATTTTTTTGACCAATTATACTAAAGTCTCAAAATTTTTTAGTCATTAGTAATCAGTAATAGTGTTCACAGCTCACCGTCAGATTTGTGTTCAATTCCAATTTATGAATTCCTGCTTACACTTAATTTTGTAGTGTTTTTTTATTTTTGGTAAATTTCCTGATCATTTTGGCAGCAATCCTAATGATTTTGAAGAAGCAATTGAAAATTCCTGGAGCCTTATTCTTAAAAAAAAACTGTCTACAGATTGGCTCTTAAAACTAAATTTACTATAAGTTAATTGAATTTGGTCCTAGATGAGAACTGATGTGTTCTTACAAACTAGAGCACAGTACATTATTATATTATAACTCTTTCAGACACGCCGTCATCCAAAATTTGTTGTGAAAGAGATGGAAAGTATGTATATTGATGAATTAAAAGCTTCTATTAATATGTTAATGGCTAATCTAGAAAGTTTACCAGTATCAAAAGGTGGAGCTGATTCGAAATATTCTCTACAGAAACTGAAACGATATAACAGGTATGTTGATTTCAATCCTTTTATTTACCTCCAAATCATATAAATAAACATAACATTGACTTGGTTTTTATACGCTCACATCTCATTATGTGGATGTATATCATTGCATTCTGTCTCTCTGTTCACATTCCTGGTCCAAACCACACCCCCATTCATCAACATACTTCCTACAATCTGTGGTAATACAAGTGGGAAAATATTACGTATTCATAGATGAATATTGTCCAATCAGTTGGTCCTACTGTATTTGTAGCAAAATTTCAGCCAATCAAAACAAATCACTTGCCATGATGCTTTGTTTGCCAACGTAAAGATATGTGAGCAGCGTGCCACTACATATTAAAAAAACTTCTAACAACTGTTCCAATCATTGAGCATAATTTCTTGAAGGATTTTATTATGTAGTTTAGTTTTATCTGGATATCAAGTAATGATTAATTCAAATATAGTTTTGAATGTGATAAAATGTTTCTATAAGAGCTATATTGTTCAAGCAGTCTAAATAAATGTCCATAAAGATTTTACCACTTAACCTTATATCTTTTGTTTTCAGGGCTCAACACTCATCTCTATCTAAAATAGATATCAATGATACAGATACTGACCCTGGTCTATCAAAATTAGATGTTGTCCTGTCTTTTACCTTGGAGGTACCTTATCTTTATTTTAATTTGATAAGATTTATTGAATTCATACAAGCAACTAATAATATCCTTGACTTTGAATCAAATAATGATCGGATCGTGGTAAGCTTAGTCGAAAGTAGGGCGGCAATGATTTTTGAAGTTTCTGTTCGATAAACTAAACATTACTAAATTAAATGATGATGACCCAATTTCTAATATATACTTGAGTTTTGCATTGAGGGTTACAAACGGAAGTTGAGAAATGATTGTGCCATACAGTGCAAGTTTTAATTAATCACATATATGCTTGCAGCCATAATGTAAAGCGCCTGGTAGTCTAAAATTATTGATGATCCAAGTTCCAGCTGACAGATAACTCTCCTAGTAGCCACAGTCAACAATTGATTTATATTTCAGGTACATGTGATAGAAGTGAAGGGAATTAGAACATTAGCTAGTAATAAAATAGTTTATTGTACAATGGAAGTTGAGGGGGGTGAAAAATTACAAACTGACCAGGCTGAGGCTTCTAAACCATGGTAAGTAATATGGATGCTATAGTTAATTATGCCTTTGTATCATAATAGTTTTTGCGATGGAATTTTATTTGTGAACACTAGTAGGGATTGTTTACATTTTTTTTCTGAACTTTGTATGTGTATGACCTAATGAATTTTGCGATAGTGACATCATAAACTGCTTAGTTTTCAAGACCCACAATATACCGGTAGTTGGTAGTGTACCAAATAGACATAAAAAGTTGTAGCGCAAACATTGAATATGAGTTGTTAAAAGGACAATGGTTGTGCCAAAGAAAAGTTCTTCTTGTAACTTTTACTAAATTGTTTCTATTCTAGTTGGGATACTCAAGGTGATTTTACAACCACTCACCCTCTACCAGTTGTTAAAGTAAAATTATTTACAGAAAGTTCTGGCATGTTGAGTCTAGAAGATAAAGAATTAGGAAAGGTAGGTCAAACCAAATCATTATTATGATAATAAACATCATAGCTAGAATTTTTAAGAAGGATGGATCCTGGATTATTTAAAGATAGATAGCAATGTGCCATAATACCCAACTTTTCTTCTGTATTTTATCAACATTATATTTACACAATGACTCCTGTTTGGGTCGAACATACTATTCTCTTTCTTCACATAAATAACCTTAGACCTAACCTGATGACCTCTGCTTTAGCCAATCGAATTTCACTGGTCAACTCAGAACAGCAGATGAAAGGAATACACCTTTTGTTCTTGTCACAATCTCAGTGCTGGAAAGGGAAGAATTTTGATTGGCTGGTGGTGTTATACAGTTGTAAAGAGATGTTGTTAGACCTACCTGGAGTGAAATTGAAATTACAGTGCTTATTATTTTATTGTAATCATGTCATTGTTCAGATGTGTACCAATGTAAGTTATATATTGCAGGTTGTGATAAGACCTACATGTAACAGTGGACGCATACCAGAATGGTTTAAAATGACCACAACTAAAAACTGTCCTGATGAATTGAAGATTAAGATAGCTGTAAGAATAGACAAACCTAATAATCTCAAACATTGTGGGTAGGTAGACTCATTTTATTTTTTCATAAATATTTGCTATCACAAAGTTTGTCTTATACCTTGACTGCAATAGCCCTAGATAGAAAGACTGTATTATGTCTTATTGTAACAAACTTTCTGTACAGAGCCTTGATTGAATGTATTCGCTAGTATACAATCTAATGCTAATGCTAAATGCTGCAGATACAACAAAAGTGGTTATTGGAGTCAAGGTATAAGACATTGGTGGATGAGACTTGAAGTGAGTCTAATCATGAAATATATTTTCAAAAATATGTAGATAACTAATGGCATTATTGACCACTCAAGTTTTTTGACACATGCTTTTGGCATTGTAATAAACTAAACTGTATTTTTATCTTATATTTTGGATTTCTTTCAGAAATTTATATGCACTTGGTAAAACTGTATGGAAGAAATGGAAAAAACGATACTTTGTTCTTGTACAAGTATCACAATATACGTTTGCTATGTGTAGCTACAGAGAAAAGAAACCAGATCCAACAGAAATGATGCAACTTGATGGATTTACTGTGGACTATTGTGAACCATTACCAGGTATGTCTAGTAGATAATATTAGGAGTCAAGGTCCCATATTGCAAAAAATTTCTTATGATCAGTTTTGTTGTTTGTATGGTAATTCTCAATGAGAATATTCTAATTGTAAGGGTTTTTGAGGAATGGGCCTAGGTTTGTTATTTTGGGATCTAGGTGTTCAAGTGATGCTATCAGATGAACTATAAGTGACTTCCTTCAGAATATGTTTCATTTAATTGTGTTGTTTATCCTATTCTTTTCATTCATTAACATTTCTCCCATATGTAGTTTATTGTCTAGGGTCCTTTAAGTTTTTAGCAATTGCATGTTAGAAGCTGGTAACAGCTTTATCTGCTCGATTATTCTTTTCAAAAAAGGACAAATTTGTAATTTGTGTTTTATTCAGTTCCTGGAATTATAGTACCATTTAATGATTATAAGTCCTTCTATTGTATATATTATATAATATCATTGTAGAGTTAGAAGGTGGTCGATATTTCTTCAACTTAGTTAAAGAAGGTGATAATGTAACATTTGCTACTGAAGATGATTCTGAGAGAGCATTGTGGGTACAGGCTATCTATCGAGCTACAGGACAAACACATAAACCCGTACCACCAGTAGTTCAAACCAATAAAATAAGTAATACCCAAATATCTAGGATGCAAGGAGGTAAGTAGTAACACCAGACAGGATTCACACTTACACCCAATACCTTGTCTTGAACAATGTCAAATTCAGGTCTAAAGTGACAAATGGTATAAGTTATGTACAGAACTACATTTATAACTGTTTTTTTTTTGTGTAGATGCTGACCGAGCTAGAAAACATGGATTAGATGAGTTTGTTCAAGCTAACCCATGTAATTTTGAACATCATGAATTATTTCAACTTTTACAAACATTAACATTAGATTACAGGCTAAATGATGCTTATACATGTCTGGTAGGTGACCTGCTTCTCTAGTCATTATTTCTTCTTGCTATTTTACAATATTCACCTACTGATGTAGGGTTGTGCAATTGTTTTAACTTTGTTGGGTAGACTTATTAATTTTAAAAAGTATTCACTATAATGAATTTTTCGGACATATAATTGATATTCAGTACAGAAATATTTTTTCCTTCCTTCATTTATTCCTTATTCATGCCATCAATCATTATTTATTAAGTCAAACGTCTGTGGGTCTTGTACCTCAACCAAAACTACAAGTTTATGATGTAGCAATCTCAAAGACCCTTAGATATTATTAGCAACTTTTGCGATAGTGATGTCACAATCAGTTAAGTATTTATTCTGACAGAAACCACTAACATCTGATGGAAAATTGAAATTTGTTGAAATAACCCATGAATTTCTTCATCCAGTTGATATTATTGTGTATATTATAGGGTTGGTTTAGTCCTGGTCAAGTTTTTGTATTAGATGAATACTGTGCCAGATATGGTAATCGTGGTTGTCATCGTCATCTATGTTATTTAAATGATTTATTAGAACGAGCTGAACGGGGTATTATGATTGATCCAACACTGATACATTACAGCTTTGCCTTTTGTGCCTCGCATGTCCACGGAAACAGGTAAAGCTCTACAATTCATTTCTTTTAATTTTCGTATTTCTAACTGGTTTCTAATCTCAAACTTGATATGCAACACTAGTTTTTTTGTATTTTTTATGTATGAAAGTCATGCAAAGTTTTTGAAATAATTTCAGGTTTGATTAAGTTTAGAGATTTCCTGGCTTGAATTTTGACATAACTTGAATTAATATTGTATATTTCAGACCTGATGGAATTGGAACTGTCTTATTACAAGAAAGAGAGAAATTTGATGAAATTAAAGAAAGATTACGAATTTTACTAGAAAACCAGATCACACATTTTAGGTATATTTAGATTAATTTGTGAACAATACAAACTTTTCAATTTTCTAATGAAATCACGTATCTTCTTGTATTAATTTTACAAAAAATAAGGAATGAGCTATAAATATTAAATATTTTAATTTAATTGTCATTGTTGTTTTTTTTTATGGTTTATAGATATTGTTTTCCATTTGGTCGACCTGATGGAGCATTGAAGGCTACGTTATCTCTATTAGAACGGGTGAGTTTATTTCTCATGGATAAGATCTATTTTTTTTATATTTTATAGTGACTCTACATACATGTGTAATCTACCGATGTTGTCAGGTTTCTACCACTTTTGCATGTTGTCCACCGCTCTACCGACGGGATACACGATTCTACCGATTTTTTTTGGTGGTATTTCCAACATGGTCAGGTTCCATGATGTTACATGATGTTTTGGAACAAATCAAACTTGTGTTACATACCGAAAATATGTTCAAAAATTATCTTATTGTTCTTGGCAACAGCGTTTATCATTTGATGATGCAGAATTTAAAGTACAAATTAATTCATTTAACAGAAACAGGTTCATGTGATAGATTATTTAATGTTGGTAAGGTCTAGGATTAGATATGAAAGATATTTTTACTATATTTATTCCAATAGGTTTTAATGAAAGATATTGTTACACCAGTACCACCAGAGGAAGTACGTCTGGTCATTAAAAAATGTCTGGAAAATGCAGCTCTAGTCAACTATACTCGCATTTCAGAATACGCTAAAATTGAAGGTATGTTTCACTATCTATGATGTAACCCATTATCATAAATACCATAAACATTGATACCATTATCATTAATATGATAATCTTTAATACTATTTATCTTATCATTAATACCATTATCATTAATACCATTATCATGAATACCAGTCACCTTATATCATGGTCTCGACTGCTTACCTAGGTCAATGCTATAAAAACATCACACGCTGTGGGCTGCAAATTGGTATGGCTCTATAACAACTTTTTGCTGGACCTTGTTGTCTACTCAAATATTTTAATGGACTTTGATCTTGCATGTACCCTGCTAAAAATTTCGCTTCTTTTGTCTGTGTTTATGCAAAATATGTTATCCTGATTGCAAAAAATTCAAATGAAAATTTATGCTCTTTTTGCTTGAAATTAGACTGCCTTGCCTGGAACTTTTCAAAGATTAAAACATGTATTAAGCATTTTGCTTTCTAATAACTTATTTACCTGTTCTTTGTTCTTTGCTTGACCTTTAAAGGACGTAAAAAAGGTGATGAAAAAAATTAGATTTAGAGAGTAGCATTAGTCAATGTGCTGCACTAATAGATTTTCTAGCCAGTAGCCATTTTCCCTAACTATAGAAGTGTTTTGTTTCATATTTATTTCATTGTTTTTGTTTAGAATTGTGTCAAGACAAATTGAAAGTCAGTCCTACAATTTTGTCTTGTAGATCACTTGTGATGTTGGTTGATTCACAATCACTGCTTGCCCCTAATCAATTTGTATATGTTTTAATTAAGGAGGTGGGATATAAGTGTAGATGTGTGATTAGATACTGATTTTATTCTTAATGCCCTTACTGACGTCATAGAATAGCTATGTGTAATATTAGAAAATTCATGTAAACCATAAACATAGCTTGAAACAAAGAAGAAAAATAAGTGTTTATATTACATACAGTTATAGGTTATAAATTATCAAATGATAATGAATTAGTCTGAATAATTGTCTTAACACATCTTTTTATTCAATTAAAATATCAACTTGTCCTATTTTGACATCTGAAACCAGTGTTGATTTTAAGTAATAAGAGGTATATATGCTTGAATTGTACTCCTGAAAGCAAATAAATGATGATAAATAACTGCTCTTCTGTATGTTTCACTTTTCTTCTTGATGTAAAAAAGTTCCAAATGGTTTTGATTGATTGCCGCATACTTTATAAACTGAATTTTATCATTTCGCACATCAAATGTATGGTCAAATGTATGGTCAAAGATATGTTCATATATTTGTGTGTATTTTGAACAGTTTTTACCAATGAAAGAACTTGTCAACGGGAATCTACATTGTAGACATCATGATGAGTTTTCCAGATTTTGTTTGATTGTAAAAAGGCATGCGCAATGTCTTCACAATTATACAGTAATGCATGTTATTGTATATCTATTCAATAATTGATGGTGTCGCCAAATTCTCAAATTGATTGAATAAGCTTTGATTCTTTATTGTCTCATAACATGTTTTTTCTCTTTATCTTTCTAATATTTTGGATGATATTTCTATCTTCTATCTATAGGAGGAAGTGGTAGGTATTTTATATCTTGGATGTTGTCATGCCTCCCACGTTTTTAATTTATTTCCCTTTCATCACATTAAAGACCTAAATCAGTTGTCCCAATGTCAGAACCACTATTGTATGCTTCTTTTCTTTATATCATTTCAAGGGATTGAAAAGAGGTTTTCTTAAAATCTTATGTGTATTTGGCACACTTATAGAATCAATTTGCACCATTCCCATTTTCAATCAGACATCCTTGGGCCTTGCAATTCCATTTAAACAAAGCATTTTATTTTTATCGATAGTGACTTAATCAAACACAGAGTTTTAGTGTAATTGGTAGAATCACAGATGTCTTATTGAAAAATGGAATGGTGCAAATTGTTGCTATCAATGTCCCTGATAAACATAACAATTTTAGAAAACTTCTCTACAATCTGTTTAAGATATCCATTGTTTTATAATGAGAATTTTGGATCTTCTTAACAACATTTTCCATTTGCTAAATATCAAATCTTTTTTTCTCCTTTGATAAGTTTCTTACTTTCACTGTTTTGTCCTTTTTAAGTTTGATTTCTTTGCTTTAGACTGAAATGCATGGTTAAGTTTTCTTTCTGTCATCCCATGCATTTGTTATTTTGATTTTTACTGTGACGTTGATGAAGATTGAAAGCCAAATACAGAAAAGAGAGTAGTAATTTTAGTTTTAGCACAGTTATTTTCAGATGTAAAATGGTAGTTGATGTTTTTGTAGAATTTTAAGTTAATAGTTTTAGTCACCAAGTAGTTTAGTGGTCACTGTAGGTTAATAATAACCTACGTCTTAAAGGGACATTCCGCTTTTTAGCATATACATAGCATACTTTAGAAATATTTTCAGGTATAATTTACGACATTTTTGATAATGGAAACCTTTTACAAAAAAAGCGGAATACCCCTTTAAATAAATTCAACATCTTTTTTTATTTTACAGTATTAAGTAGATTGAATTTAGATATTGTTTTTTATCAATTCATAAAAATAGTTTTAAAAGAAATGTCAAGGTTAAAACTCACTGTCTCAGTGAATATGTTTTGCCATCCCATGTATACATACAATTGTTATAAAAGTTAAAGAGCTAGTGATATCACAAATTCCATAAAACAAAGACAATTTCTGTTTATATTAAAGTTGATCAATATTCTATATTTATCGTGGTATCAAGAAGGTTATGATTGATTCAGAGTGAATAACAAAGTAATACAAGATAGATGTATTTAATTCAGTTGATTACTCTGACAGATAGAATGGAGCTTTATTAGCTCAGAAAGCAAATATTTAGTTGCCTATATTACTTCAATAGAAATATGACAAGTCTTATAATCTGCAGTACCTTAGTGTACAATGTACAATGTTTTAGATGTGAATCAGAGTTGGTATTGACAGGTTGTTTTAAATATGGGACTGACAAGATTTCTTGTTCCACCTTACTTGATTTGAGTTAAATGTTGTTAATATTTCAGATAGTTTATGTGATAATACACCCCCTAAGAAGAAACTAGATGATATCATGAGACTTGCTGAACTGTGTATTGAGGTTTTACAACAGAATGAAGAGCACCATGCAGAGGTCAGTAAAACATTGTTTCTATAGTAACCATTACATCATAGCACCATCCTGCTAATTGTGGTACTGTCATCAGGCCCATTGTTTTGTTGCTATGGTGATTCTGTCTATTGTTCTATCCTATATCCCAGTTCGTAACGCCCCTATCTGTCTCTCAAAACTTAAACCCTCTCCCCACGGCCAGGTATGTTTTCTATCCTCTTGTATCTTCTGCGCTTTTTGGGCATTTTGAAATTGTGAATGAGTTTTTGGTGCGTTTTGAAATATTTTGTGATTTTGTGAAACATTGGCATTACATATATAAATCTAGAATTGTAAGTGTTTGAAATAAACAATATCTACATGTTGATTCTCCAGGAAGATAAGCCATCCAAGATATTTTGGTTTTCATATTTGAACTATATCTTGGAAATATATGGAAAATTAGTTCTCTATTTATGAGATATATATAATGCCAATGTTTAAAAAGGACAATTGGTATACAAAATAATAATGAATTTTGTATTTCAATCTACTCCCTTGGTACCAATTAGACGTCAACTCTGTCAACTTCCCCATGTCATGTATGTTTGATTTCTCTTATTATTGATATCGCATGATTATTGAATGTCTGGTTATAATATTAGATTGACAAAGTATACAAGACTGTTTTCAAGTGTGTTTTATCAATGATAGGTCCCTTGAAGTACGTTTTGAAATTCATTCTCAAATTTGATTTTGAAAAAAATACTTTCTATGCATTACATACTGTGCAGTTAGTATTTTAAGTAGTACTGAGGATGCTAACCCTTCCTAAAGTCACTGATGCCACTTTGGGTTTGTCAACCTTGAAATCCTTTGTGGAGAGGCACTGTAACAAATAAGGTTGTTGATTCATTTTGGTATACTTATCCTTGAAAGCTAAGTCATATCCATTGGAGTGTTTTTTGTGTGTAAAAAAACCTGAAAAGTATCCAGCCATCCTGCTATAAAATTATTAATGTCCACTATACTTTGTCAATGTTAATTAACCTATATTATTATTAAACTGTATATTGTGATTGACCGTTTTGACCTCTATTATTATTATTATTATTTAGGAATTCAAATCGGTGAGTGAGTACGCATACAAAAAATCGATCCGTCATTGCACATATACTTCAAAACACGTTTTTTATTTCTATGAAATTATTTCTTTTTTTTTCAAATTCTTCATAAAAATTATACAATTAGGGTCTAGAAAACTAGAGTGAAATTAGTGGCAAGAGACATATTATTGTCTACCGTTTCTAGATTAGGAATGCCAGTAGTCAAAATATAATCACACTGCTTCATAGATTTAGACAAAATTCACATTTTTCAGATATTTTACTTATTTTCCTCACAGACTTTTATTTTTGCCCGATTTTTCTCATTATTTTTTATCTTTGAAATAAATTATTACATATGAGTGATCTATTTTTCTTTGTCAACAAAATTGAATTTGTTCATTATTGCCTTGAAATTCTCAATTTTTGTAAAATAAAATGAAATATTCCAAAAAGAAAATTGTCATGAAACCAAAGTAATGAAATTAAAACTGGAATTTATTTATTTATTTTGGATGCATGTATCGATTTTCATTAATTTATAATATTTTGTCTTCTATTAAATGCTTGAAAATTTGCACTTTTTAATTCTTACATTTTCTATGAATTTGAGTTTAAAATTAGATAGTAGGCAAATATAAAAATATACTTTATTGCATGACTTTTTAAGTATAAAAGAATTCAAGGGAGACAATAATAATATATCTCTTTGTAATGAATACCAATTGACTATTCAAACCCAGATAATACTATTACTACTAGAGTGTGTCATATTTCTTAAAGGGACAGAGACGCCATTTTTGGTTGATTTAAGTCTTGAATATAAAGTAAATAGTCTTCAGAAGGTACTAGAAATGTATGAGAATTGCATAATTCCTTCAAAAATATCTCAAACTGGGAATTTCCTTTCATATTTCTATAGATAACTTTCAAACGCCAATACTTCTGGGCATACATGGATTTGAAGGCTCAAATTTTCGACGGTGAGCTGTGAACAATATTAGTGGTTGGCTTAGCAAAAAAATTCCTGTTTCTGAGACTATGGTCAATTGGTAAAAAAAATGGCGCATATGTTTCTTAATGAGGATTATGCTTTTATATGGCTTCAGATCTAAACAAGCTATAATATATTTATTATTATATAAGTTAAAGTTTTAGTCCTCTAATAACTATTTCATGTTTTGTTTAATTGTATGAAACTTCAAGTGAAGTGAAGTGAATTTCAAGATAATGGAAATTTTGTAGGAAAGAATTAATGGGAAATATAGATAAAAAAAATTGCTAACACACAGACAAACTTTGAACTTTAAAGGGACAGGTTTGCCATTTTTAGGGGTTGAGTTGAGTCTTAAATACAAATGTATATATAGTCTTCAGAAGAACTTGAAATCGCATTTCTATATACTGTAGTGTCTCTAGTAAAGACAAGATGTCATTTTAACTGACAAACGCGGATAATTCATCACATGGATTTGATGGTCCAAATTTGACGGTGAACTGTGAACACTATTACATGATATTGAGACTAAGGTATAATCGGATGGCGAATCTGTCCCTTTTAGTCAGATTTTTACTGAAAAGTACCTTGATCGGCTTTTCTTTTTCATCAATTGGTCATTTAATATATGAGAGGACTTTATCTTTGATTATTTATCAATTGAACTATTTGTATTTACCAGTTATATGTTTAAACTTTGCTTCTGCTTTTCATGTCTTATTTTCTCAACATATTTTATAAACTTATCTAAATGTGTACCAGCTCGCTCAGAATGCACTGATTCACACTAAGATCTTTGTCAGAAATTATCACTGTTTTCAGACTATTTGGATTTTGTTTTACAAACATATTTGTGGAATATTCTGGTAAAGTGGGAACTGAATTGATTTACACTTGTGGGTTTTCTTTGTATTACTGATTTGTACTGATTATTCTAAACCTTGTTTCAAAAAAAAAGTTCAACTATTGGCCCTGTGGAAACATTCTGAAGGACCAAGTTTGATGTGAAAATTTGAGGCTGTAGAAGTGTTTAAAATGAGATTGTAAGAGAAATAAAAATTATTCAAATATTACTAGAAATACTTCTGGTATCAGCTATACAAAACTAAAGTATTTTTAATTCCAAGTTCAGAGTAAAATTAATTTTATCCGTTCAGGCATTTGCATGGTTCAGTGATCTGTTGGTGGAACATGCTGAAATATTCTGGTCATTATTTGGAGTGGATATGAATGCTGTCTTAGAATCTCAGCCTCCTGATACCTGGGATAGTTTCCCTCTCTTCCAGTTACTCAATGATTATCTCCGTGTTGATGGTAAGTAGTCTAGATTATTTTAGTCTGTTAGTTACAACTATAAACCAGTGAGTGCACTGACACTTGAAAAAAAAATGTGCAACTGAATGAGTGTGCTAGTCTGTGGAACATGTCATAGCGCATCAACAGCGCATCAACCTACTGCAAAAATTTAGATAATCTTCCTGGTAGCCCAACAATTCCGGCCCTACCCAGTTCCTCTTACATGATATTCTACATTATATGTGTCTGGCTCTAATCCATCCAAATATCCCTTGGAGGAACTTGGTAGGACTGAACTGGTGTTGCTTATATTTGCTCAATTGAAGACAAACCTAGGATCAAATATGATTCTTAAAGTGTTCAGACAAGTTGATATTTTATATTATGTACATCATTTCAGAAAATTTATGCAATGGTCGATTTCATCAGCACTTACGAGATGTATTTGCTCCTCAAGTTGTTCGTTATGTTGATTTAATGGAGTCCTCTATAGCACAATCTATTCATAAAGGTTTTGAGAAGGAGAAATGGGAACCTCAGGGGTAAGACTGGTTGTTTAGATTATTAGTATTTGATAGATTTACACATATAGTTAGATCTAAGACAATAAACTGGGAGTGTGCTTATAAGCTGTGCACGTTAAAGATTCTGTAACAGTTTTCAGAAAAAGTAGCCTAATGCTGCTCATTTCCCTCATTGCACACTGCGCAATATTGCTTTAATCCTGAGCCAAAAGTAGGATGTAAACCTCCTTTTATTTTAAAACTTAAATCTTCTGTTCAGGCCTGAACAAGCACAGCATAGGAACATAGGCACTGATGATAAATGTTTTGGGGAATTTTTGACACTTTGAATTGATGTTATTGACTATTATATTGTTGTCCAGAAATTTCTTAGATTCTTTTATCTTATCATTTCTTTATTGCCCTATTATTTATTTTGGAATGTAATTGTTTTGTTGAATCCAATAGAAATGGTTGTTCAACATCAGAAGATATGTTATGGAAGTTAGATGCTTTACAAGCCTTTATTCGTGAGCTCCATTGGCCTGAGGAGGTGTTTGCTGATCATCTGGACCATAGATTAAAATTAATGGCTGCGGACATGATAGAAGCAGCTGCTAAAAGGTTGGTTTCTCTTCTAATTATTTGATTCTATTGAGAATGTAGCAATGGAAATTAAGAAATTATTTTAGAATTATTTGAATTGTGAACAGATGATCTCACACTCCAGTTTGCAAGGTTTATTAACATAAATTGCTTAGGGTATATAATTAATTCTAACACAGACCAATATGCTATACATGTTCTATCATCTATTTTCTATCCTAAGTATTTGTCCTAAAGAAAACCATATTGAACTATGTTACTGATATTTTGTAGAACATTAAAGTCATTTGAAAGTAGTTTAAGAAAGGGTAGTAAAGGATCTGATTATATAGCACCAAGTGAAATCTGCACTATGATGAATGTTATTATTGACTGTAAAAACAAGGCTTTACATCTTTGTGCCTTGGACAGTGGTCAAAATATGGTATGTATACCTTTAATTTGCTGTTAATGAATCTGCAACGGAGAAGATAAGATCCTTTACTGCATTAATGTAGTAAGACGACATTTTCTGATCAACGTTGTATGAAATTCTATCAAAAAAATGTCATCTGCATCTTTCATGAGGTCTTATAATTGCAATTTTGTGCCGACTGTTCCTGCAAATATATCAAATATGATTACTCTTCCATTAATCCCTGATATATCTTGGCTCCTCTTTAACTTACATGCTTTAAAGTCAATATATTCTATCTGCTTTCTCTTTCAGCATCAATATCATACTAATCTAGATGAGTTTTTAGAGAGGGTACAGATACAAATGGTCAAATGTCTAGTCGAAAAGGTAGGACTTACTTCTGTTTAGAATTGATTTAATTGATGTTTACTGAACCTTTCTAACATTAATCTTATCTGTGGAATATTAAGATTTCATGTGATATTCAAATATATTTCAACCAATATTCAGATATAATAAATATTCAGATACATTTCAATTGATAATGAGATATAATCAATATTCAGATATATTTCAACTGATATTCAAATATATTTCAACCGATATTCATATATAATCAATATTCAGATATATTTCAACCGATATTCAGATATATTTCAACCAATATTCAACCGATATTCAGATATATATCAACTCTGATATTCAAATATATTTCAACCGATATTCAGATATAATCAATATTCAGATATATTTCAACCGATATTCAGATATAATCAATATTCAGATATATTTCCATTGATATTGAGATATAATCAATATTCGGATATATTTCTATTGATATTGAGATATAATCAATATTCAGATATATTTCAACTCTAATATTCAAATATATTTCAACCGATATTCAGAAATAAACAATATTCAGATATATTTCAATTGATATTCAGATATAATCAATATTCAGATATATTTCAAGCAATATTGAGATATAATCAATATTCAGATATATTTCAACTGATATTCAAATATATTTCAACTTATGTTCAATGTAATCAATATTCAGATATATTTCAATCGTTGTTCACCAATATTCAACCAATATTCAACCGATATTCAGATATATTTCAACTGTTATTCAAATATATTTCAACTTATGTTCAAATGTAATCAATATTCAGATATATTTCAATCGTTGTTCACCAATATTCAACCGATATTCAGATATATTTCAACTGATAGTGTATTTCAACTGGTATAAAAAAGAATCATATCATAACACATGGAGGAATGGGCTCTTATTCGGTTTTCTTATAATAGAAGTTTTATTATGTTTCAGTTATTATCAGTATTAGAAAGTGTGTTGAGTAAACTAGCAAGATATGATGAGGGAACATTCTTTGCTTCTATCTTATCTTTAACAGTAAGTAGATTCATTCTAAAAGGAGAAGCATACAAATAAGTTATGTTTTTTAAAACAGTCCCTTATCTCTGACAATGAAAATGTTTAAAATAGGAAAAAAGCAAAGACATGTTAAGTTAAAAATGCTTTCAACTCTAGAATCTCTTCAGATGTTAAGGAATCTTATTTATTGTAAAGATAAAGAGATTTGTCTAGAAAGTGACATTGATGATGATTAAATTTAAATATTCTGAAGCCTGTTCATGGTATATTTTAAACTCATTATAAGAAAACTAAAAAAATAATTTTTTGACTAGAAACCAGTGAATGAACTAGGAAAAGCCTATGTTGAGTTTATGAGATGTAACCTGGATGTAATGAGACAGAAGATAACTGATGAACTCTATACATTATCAATGTTTGAAGAATGGTATACAGGACAGATGAAGATGATTGGTGATTGGTTAACTGATAGATTAGATTTATCTTTACATCCGTATCAACTAAAATGTCTCATGAATATCAATAGGGTGGGTATACTTTCACAATACATTCACAAAACCTAATTCAACCCACACGCAATGATATCAAATATCTGACAGGTGATTTGTAAATGGGGGGTTGATTCTAACACTTGACGATGATCTACCACTAACTAATATGGTGTCTGCATTATGCCAAAATTGATGTTGGAGAGTTCTCCTCATTTTTCATTCCAAAATTCATAATATTGATGATGTTAGAAGCTTTCAGTGGTAAATTAGGAAAAATTAATGATAAACTCATGAGAATAAAAAAAAAAAAATTATGTTACAGAAATGTTACAGTGATTTTGAGTTGCAAGGTGTACCAGAGAATATATTAAATAGTAAAACTTACCAAACAATCTGTAGTAGACTACAGGTACAGTCATTGTTAACTTATTATTTTCTCATAGTTTTCTTAATGATACTTTCTGATCTTATCATTTGGTCAGTGGCATAAGCAATAATCTTAGATATCCATGCTAATTTGTACCGACTGTAATTGTAATTTGAGTTCTGTAGCACAGTCATTGGTTATATCAAACTAATGGTAGTCTTAGTTTCTTCTCTTGGTCAGAATGTGAAAGTCTGTCATTAAGTTTGATGATGCCTGGTAACTTGATAGTATTCCTGTTTTTATTTCAGGTTGAAGAAGCTACGCAGTCAGTGACTCAATCAGAGAGTGGTAGTAGGTTTCTTGGTAAAGTTTCTAGTAATCAGAGTGATGATGATTCTGATTAAATGTTTTTTTATGATAGATAATGTAGGTTATTAGAAAATAGGCTCACTAATAGACAGCTACCCTCAAATTTAATATTAGTTCTTATCCAGCAAGGAATAACGCTCTGTAAACAAAAAACCATTCCAAAAAACTTTTCGAGATCTGAATTTAGTCAGAATTTATGAAATTGCTTTACAGATTGCAATACCTGAAGATAGATTAATTAAGACTTATAAACTTTAGAATATCAGCCAATGATAATTATAGCCAAAAAATATAAGGTAGTTCAGTTCCATACAATAGCAGATAACATTGGCTTAAAGAAATGATCACAGTTACTTTGTGGCAATAATTATACTTAAACAGTACTTGGACACAATTTTTTTTACTTAAGAACATTTTTAAAAGAAGGATCACAATAAGGATACCATCAATAGAAATTCAAGTTATATGTTTGAGACAAATATTTTACTTAACTAAATAGTCATAGTCCATATTCCAGTCCATTTTTCAGAATTGCTTTTTCTTGCTCCATCCTGATTATAATTACATAACGCACAGATATTTATTAATGATAAAATGCTTCAGACTCAAAAAACATGATGATAAATGATACAAATCGCTCAAAATCTTTGCTTTCAATGTATAGTTTATGACAATCAATGGACGAAAGTGTATAGGAACTCTAACTGTGATTTAAATAAAAGATCTGATTTCTTACATATTCTTTAATATTGAAATCTCTCTCTCCCCTCTCTCGTTATGACATTTACTTATATATATATATATATAGGCATATGATGTCAAAATATAACATAAGAAATACATGGCAAATTGAATTGTTAAAATTTATTACACGAATGATAGTATAAATACTAAAATAGATGTTGATTGTGAAAAGGTTTTCTAAAAATTGTATACATGGCAGGGACATTGATTTGCACCATTCTAATTTTTAATCAGAAGTCTGTGGTTTCTGTAATTCCACAAAAAGTAAGTGTTTGATGATGTCACTATTAGTGACTTCACTCGAAATTTGCTCCAACAGATAAGGCCCTTAGTGACGTCATCAAACACATAGTTTTAATGGAATTGCAGGAACCACAGACATCTGATTGAAATTGCAATGGTTCAAATGAATGCTATCAGTGTCCCAAGATACACATAACAAATTTACAAAACCTCTTTACAGTCCCTTAGACCGAAACAATAGTTTCACTTGCCAATATTAATGTTAGTCAGAAGTTATGTTAAGTGTTATAATGACATTTACTATATAGTGTTATTAACTTTCTTATAAAACATATATATAATGATTATAGTCCAGTAAAGATATTTGTTCACATCTGGGTCCCATTCAAAACATAAAACAGAAAGTTCATTTTATTTTGGGTAGATTGTATAAAATTGTAATTAAACAAGCAAGATTTACTTCTGTTTGTTACTGTCTTTGCTACCTAAAAATAAAGTGGACAGCCCCTATTTATGTTTTGAATAGTACCCAAATGAGAAAAATATCTATGCTGGACTATATTAGTTAATCTTTGAAAGTATATTTGTTAGAATGTAGAATGACTAACCAATCTGTGAATCTCACTTAACCTATGTATTGTAAATATTAACTAAAACAGGCTGTGTTTTTTTACTTCAATATAGAGTTAAATTAGTGCTCAAAATGTTATATGAGATTATATGGATGTTATTTGGTTGTTATGGTGATTTATTATTTAAGTTTGGTTGTTATGGTGATATTATTGGTGATAGATCAAATAGATATTATGATAATATTATGGTTAAAATGGTTGTTCATGGTTCTCTTTTATATTCAAAACTATGTATGCTGTACATTGTTCTCCAATGAGTTTGACAACTTTCAGATGGCTTCAACACCAAGTTTCCTGTGGACAAAATGTGAAAATATGTAAAAAGAAAAAGTTTAGAAAATCAACATGTTTATAGTCACATTTGACTATTTTTTTTAGACCTTCCTTCATTTTGGCTTTTTGGAAACAGGTGTTAACTTCTAACAAATAGCTGGCCACCAAAATAATATTTTCCTTGCTAGAATAGTTAGACATTTACTTATAACATGTGGGGAAAAAGTGAAATTTAACCCTTTTGCAAAGACAATTCTGGTAGATTTCTAATGTAAAATTACCGTGGGTCAAAATGTACTTCATAAGAAAAATCTTGACTAAATGTTTGTAAAAAATGTAGAGTTGAGTTATACTTCTCCTTATATACATGTATTGCTCCATGACCAGATATTTCTAAAGAAGTGATCAGCATAATCACTGCTAAATAATGTTAAAAAATGTGATAGTTCAGATTTCTTGAAAATTTTCATAAGGTGATAGATATACAAGATTTGGTTGTTATGGTGATTTATTACGATGTTTTAATTAGGTTGTTACTATTTATATATAGATATATATGTATATATGCGTAGAGAGGCGTGTTTCGTAATTCATTATGTACATATTCACCTAGGATATTAGTCTTTTTCTATTCACCTCTGAATATATTGTTAGAAAATAGTTCAATCAATAATAATTAGATATAAATGGAATATTTTAACTGATCCTTCAAGCTAAACAGGAATTCTGAAGGTCTTGATTTTTAACTCATTTCTTGAAAGGTTAAAGGGATTGTAAAGAGGCTTTCTAAAAACAATGTGTTTTTGGTACACTATTAGCGTCAATTTACACTATTCCAAGTTTTGAACAGACGCCTGTGGTTCTTGCAATTGAACTAAAACTATGTGCTTGATGACCTCACTAATCGCAAAGTATGCTTTATCTCATACATAAGGTCCTTCGCGATTATTGATGTCATCAAACACTTAGTTTCTATGGAATTGCAGATGACGCCTGATTGAAAATTGCAATGGTGCAAATTGATGATACCTGTTTTAAAAATTTAGAAAACCTCTTTATATGGGCTTTCGCTGTAAGATATTTGATCCTGGTGTGCTTAGATCCTGGTGTGCTTAAGATCCTGATAATATCCTGAGCAAAGGGAGTGTGAGCAGCAATCAGGAAAGTACTATTAAACCAACTTTTTTGTTGATCATTTCAAGGTATTCAAGGATCATTTCAAATGTTCATAGTAGATGTAGAAAAATATAATATGCAATATGGATTTTTCAAATTCAACGTTCAAATTAGTATTATCTAGTAGAGGTTGCTGTGGTAATATTTTGTTTAGAATAGATTATAGATTTTTACATTCCTTTAGTTAGTATTTATGTCAGATATTTCAATCAGTTGTGATCAGTGATTCCTTGATAGTGATAGAATTTAAAACCAGTGTCCTAAGACAAATTATCCAATAATCACCTGTAGGCACATTAAACAAATGTAGAATTGAATAGCTATTTCTTTTTACAATGCAGAGGCTCTTTTCCTCTAATTTTCCTCATTTTACCATTAAAGTATATGATTTTGTGGGTTAAAGTTCCATTTGTTTTGTGTTATTTTCATTCCTAACTTACAATTTTGGGGTTTTTTTAATGTTTTTTATTCCACCATTCCACAAAAAGGCATACATATATCTTGTTTTCAAGATAAAAATTGACCAAAGTCATTTTAAGTCACAATCTAGTGTATCTTAATGTATTATGGACTGATGATTGGAAGACAGGATCATTAGTACAATATGAATATTGATGATTGTCTCATTAGCATATAATGTTTATGCTCTGTATGTTGTTTAATTTGTAATGGTTTGTATTAAGATTGCAATGAGATTTAAATGAATACAGATCTTATAACCATGATCTGCTATGATCTTTCTACCAAACCTTCCTTAAAGTGGAGATGAAAAGGTTCACATTAATTGACGCTAAGACAATACAGTGATAAAAAAGCTGATTAAATAACATATATTTAACCACTGATATGATTGACCACAATTTGTCCACTATTTCTAACAATAGAAATATTTTAAAGTCCCATGTTATTTTGTTTAATATTTGCTTTTTTTTGTTATCTAGTAATATTTAATTAATGTTTGCTTCATACATTCAGTTTTAATGCTAGTAAGGACCAAATGAGTTTATCTGAGGTATACTGTTTTGATTATTCTTTTTTTTTCAAATATATATTAATTTTCGTAGAATATTTATTAATTTTCTTAGAATATTCATTAAATGTTGTTCAAATACTTATTCATTTTTTTAGAATATCTACTCTTATGATTAGAATATTTTATAATATTCTTAGAATGTTTCATAGTATTCTTAGAATACTTAATATTATTCTCAGAATATTAAGTAATATTAGTATTCTTATAATATTATTTCTTAGTATTGTTAGAATATTATTTCCTAGTATTCTTAGAATATTATATCTTAATATTCTTATTCTTGGTATATTAAATCATAGTATTCTCTAAAAATTAAATTATAGTATTCTTAGAATGTCTCTTATAATTCCTGGAACATATATTAGTATTCTATAGATATTCAATGATATTCTAGTTTCTCTAGAAAATTATGTATTCTTGAAATATCTATTCATATATCATAATATTATTCAGCTTTCTAAGAAAATATTTCTTAATATTTATATTAGAACTTTAGGGAAGTATTTCTATGTACCGATATCCTAAAGGAATATTTATTATTATCTTAAAACATTTATTCTTATTCATAGAAAATTGAGTAGTATTCTCTCAATAGTTATTATCATACTAATAACCTTTATTAATTGTTGAACTATTAATTATTATTCTCAGAATATCTATTAGTATTCTTAGAATATTTATTATGTTCTTGAAATATATATGGTCATTCTAAGAATATTTATTAGTATTCTAAAACAATGTTCATTAGTATTCTTAGCATATTTATATTATTATTTAAAGACTTTTATTTGTATTATTCTAGAATTTATAATATGCAAGAAGAGTATAGAAAATATGTGCAATAATATAAAATAGTTACTGTTTTTGTTGTTTTCCTCTTGATATCAATCTGGTACTATTAAATAGCATTATTATCAGAGAAAGTTGTGGTTTT